TAATGCATTTTTTGCTTTTGATGTCGAAATAAATGAGTTTTTTAAACAAAAAAACCGCAACTAAGTTTACCACCTAATATATCAACGCACGTGTCCACTTGAAAAACAACGAACGAAAAAATCGTCCGTTTTCTCATGTTCTAAGAAGTGTGTGCACGCACAAGCAAACTCGCGCGTCAATATATATATTCAACGTAGCATACGACCAATGCGATGCAATATATAAACATAAAAAAACGCTCATTTGTGGAAACTGAGCAGACGCTCTTCTCTGAATCATATAACATCGATATAACGGCGATCCATTGTCTTTCCTGACTTTCTGTAGGTGCGCATAAAGTCATGTATAGAAATTTGTGTCCCGAAGTGAAAGGTCACATAGTTGGACGGTGGCAGTCTGGGAGATCATTAGCAGATATTGTTGCTGATATTCTCTGCTCTACGAAGACAGTTCTCAGATGGATACAGCAATTTACTACAGACGGTGATCATGCATTGCATGATCATCGCAAGCAAAATCGGCGACCACGACGGACAACAAAACGAGGACATCATTGCTTCTGTACAGCAATGACCTTTTGGCATTGTTGCAGAAGTTCTCCATGCTGCGGACATACAGGTGTCGGACAGAACCGCAAGATGACGATTAAACGAAGCTGAATATTGTTGTTATCGTCCAACCCATAAAATCCCGTTGACTCCTGAACATCGGGAGCAACATGTCACGTTTTCTTTGGAAAACCTGACGACGAACCGTGAAGAGTGGGAGGTCACGATCTGAACCGATGAAAAGGTCTTCGTATCGTGTGCCGACTGTCAACTTCATGTTTGGCGATTAAATGATTAAAGGCATCCGAAGTAATCAAGATTGCATCCGAATCATGTTGTGCCTACCCACAGAAGTGGGAGGATTTCGTGTGCAATGTGGGGCTGAATTTCCGGTAACGCTATCGGTGACATCAACTGGTCGACATCCCTACAAGGATGAACTCCGCGGAATACATTCGCATAATGGAAGAAGTTCTTCTTCCATCGGTGTGAGCAATTTATCCCGTGGAGGAAGTACCGATAATCCGATTAGTGCAGGATAATTCCGCTGTCCATACATCATGCAAAACATAAGCATGGTTTCGGAATTATTCCGAGATCCACTTAATCAAGTGGCCTGCTCGTTCGTCAGATTTAAATTTGATCGAAAACGTTTGGGCACAAATAGTTCAATGCTGAGAATCAAGAAGGGAAAGGACGGTAGCACCGTTAGTCGATCATGCCAGAGAAGTCTGGGAAGAACTTCGGCTTCGACCCGACTTTTTCGCGAACTTGATTGATTCGATACCGAATCGATTCAATCAAGTTATTGACCGTGCCGGATATTAGACTGACCATTGACTATCAACTTCAATTTCTTTGGCACAAAAGTCGAGCCTTTTCAGGACCACTAAATTTTATAACGATGGAATGATACTTCGACGTATAAAATATAAAATAATTATATCTCGCGTGTTTGTACAACAATAAAATTAAAAATACTCTACTTCGACAATCTATACAAGCGCTGTATTATTGCAATATTCTATATTGCAATATTCTATATTGATTCGATATTGAAATAATATATTGATTCTATATTGAAATAAATCTAATGTTAATTTTTTTTTCAAGAGCAGCTATTAAGAAGCACTTGTCGAAGCCTCCTGAAAACCCTTTCCCAAGATCTCTTTTTACATTACAGTAATTTCCTTGCTAACAAGAAAAAATGCATGGATGTTCGAGCGAGCGAAACAGTCGTCGGGACACCGCGTATTGCTCATGTATAGACGAGACAATGTGAGGATGCGATTAAATATAGCGCGATATGCGGTATGCGGTACGCGGAACGCGGTAAAGTAACTAGAAATCGCGCGCGGTGAGCCGCGCCTGTTTTCTTTCTCCTATTACATGGAGCAGAAACTTGCGCGGAAAAGCGGCACGAGCTAGTGACAAATTCTCATTTGTTTTCATTTTCTAAAATGTATTAACTTATTTCTATGCATATTTTACCAATATTCTTATTTTTTCAACAAATTTACTTATTAATTGCATTTAAATCAATTAATTCCATTTAAAAGTGCATAGAAATGAGAATTTATCACTAGCCCGTGCCGCTTTTCCGCGCAGTTTCTGCTCTATGTAATAGGAGGAAGAAAACAGGCGCGGCTCACCGCGTGCGGTTTCTAGTTACTTTACCGCGTTCCGCGTACCGCATATCGCGCTACATCTAATCGCACCCTGAGTCGAGCGTTTTCTTAGGCCGCGGTCCGAAAAGCGCTCACAGTGCTGAGAGCGTAAACACTGTTCTGAAATCATTATCGCGCTTAAGCACTGCTCATTTCGGAACGCATTCTCTGTCCCTTATAGAAATATCATACTAAGAATCATTGATAATTACTTATTATCCAGTATTTTTAATACTGAAAATAAGTAATTATCAATGATTCTTAGTATGATATTTCTATAAGGGATGTGCTGCATGCGATATCTAAAGAAAGTTAAAGACAAGTGACAAGTCATCGAGTACAGACAAAAATGAGAACATTCTACATTTTTTCACATTGCTTTTGGTTTCGTTTTTCATATTCACTTTTTACTAATTCGATCAAAAGGGTTGCATCTGTAGAAATTACGTTACAGAAAATGAATTATTAGGTGTATATCTATGAAATGCGGATTTTTTAGAGAAAAAATACATTATTTGAAGTGAATGGTTAAAGCTATTTATTTGAAATATGCGCCATTCGACGCTACAACTTTTTCCCATCTTTCTGGCAAAAGATAGATTCCGCGACAATAGAAACTTTCATCTTTCGAAGTAAACCATGAATCGACCCATTTTTTCATTTTTTCGAAATTAGCGAAGTGCTGCTCAGCCAATCCGTGCGCCATCGGCCGGAACAAGTGATAGTCCGAAGGAGCAATGTCCGGCTAATACGGCGAGTGAGGTAGCACATCCAAATTCAATTCTTTTAAAGTTTTCTTGACAACTTTTGTGGTGTGGGCCGGTGCATTGTCATATAGCAAAATCACTTTTCTATGTCTTTGGGCCCATTCTGGATGTTTTGTGATCAATGCATGGTTCAAATTGATCATTTGTTGTCGGTAGCGAGCAACATTAACCGTTTCACTAGATTTGAAAAGTTCATAATAAACAACACCCTTTTGATCCAACCAAACACAGAGCATTGTCTTCTTTCCGAAGCGATTTGGTCTTGCAGTCGATGTTGATGGTTGGCCTGGATCAACCCATGATTTTCTTCGTTTGGGATTCTCGAAATATATCCATTTTTCATCACCTGTAACGATTCGATACAGAAAACTCTTCCGTTAATGTCTTTTCAGCAGGAGTTTGCTGGTGACTTTTCGATTCTCCATCTGTCTTTCAGTCAAACCATTTTCCTTTTTTTGAATCTTTCCCATCGCGTGCAAACGCTCGCTAACACTTTTTTGAGTCACATTTAATATTTCCGCCAATTGTGATTGAGTTTGAGTGGAGTCTTCGTCCAACAATGCTTGCAACACTGCATCTTCAAATTTTTTCGGTGGTTTTCTCTTAGCCTTGTCTTTCACATCAAAATCACCAGTTTTGAATCGATTGAACCAACGTTCACAAGTGTCTTAAGATGGTGCATGTTCGATATAAACTTCTACAAGTATTCGATAAATTTGAGCAGCAGTTTTCTTTAAAATGAAGTAATGAATCAAAACTTCCCGCAAATGGGAAGTCTTTTTTGGTACGAAATTCGACATTTTCAAAGCAAAAAAAGACTATGATATTTACACTCTCACAATTTTCCATATGTATGGTTAGGAATAGCCAAACAAAATACTATATATGTCAAATCACCACGCGTAAGAACGTATGTGTGGCACCATCTGATAGGAAAATCCGCATTTCATAGGTATACACCTGGTACAAGATAGTTTATGTAATATAAATTTTACTAAAAAGCCTAAAATCACAAATATAACCTCTCACGAAGTGCTTTTTTTCTTACCTACTGCAGCTTTTTTTTTATCTTCGATGTTACTTTCAAAATTATTGTTTCTTTTGTATATTCTAAATATACGGGTAATTCCTCCAAATCTTCTGCAGCCATTTTTATTGTAGTACACTTACTTCAATCAGCGAAAATATTTACATATGTATGTACATCATTTAAAAATTTGCTACTTTTTCCGCGCTTGTTATGTCAGTGCTCACGGTGCCTCACCTTCCGACATGGGCAGCGTGAGCATGAAAACTATGACGTCACCTAACTTCGAGTGAACTTAAACCAATTCGGAACGCATAAGAGCGCGCTAATAGTCCTGTGAGCGCTTTTCGGACCGCGGCCTTAGTGTGCGTATTTTAGGACGGCATTTCTATCCACGACGTCTTATAATGCTATCTCGCTCTTACGTCTGCGATAGAGGATGGAAGATCGCCACGACTCCCACCACTATTCCCTCTTCGACGATCGTATACCGCTAGCTCCCTCCACCACTCCGTGCTGCTCGTGTCTTACCCACAGGCAGCAGTGTGTGAGTGACGCTTTATCGTATGCGAGTCACACGGATATACGGACGGCATTAACGCCGGTGCGTGTACACGGACACACACCGATATGATTTAATAAATATCAAGAAAAAGCGGAAGTATATTTTTATAGATAATCTGTACCTTATTGAGAGATAATTTTATCTCTTCAAACCATGTATCAACGTCAATCAAAAATTTCTAAATTTACATATTTACGTAACCTGTATTTATATATACTAAGTTTCATGAAAATTTTTGGGTTTGCAAGTTTCCTCTTCGTAAATTAATAAATATTAATTTATTTAACTCTGATATAAAATACATAGAAATGGCATGTTTTTAAGAAACACCATTCTCTCAAAGAATCCGTTATAAAATTAAGTTTTTTGAATGACAATCTTTGAAACATAAGAATGACTATAAAAAAACCATTGTTTTCCATTACCTCGAGTTGTAGATCAACAATGCCGGTCACGACAAAAGCCAGTGCAGCTAAAAGCGTGCCGGTAGCAAGTTTCTTCAAAGGAGTGTCGATTAGATGTATTTTTGCAAAGAGTGGATAGATGCAAACTTCGAAAAGAGGCACGAAAGCGAGGATCAACAGAGGGTTGACGACCTGCATTTGATCGGGCTCTAGTAGAAAACTACCGATCTGTCCGTCCATTCGAGTGGCTTGAAAAGTCCATCGAGAACCCTGTTGATCGTAGAGGGCCCAGAATATCGGCAACGGTATAAACAATTTCAACACCTGCAGCGAGACTCTGATGTCATCTATCAGCTTACGATCATACGTATCGTCAGCATGGTCGAGCCAGTGGTCGCGTTTTCCGTTTTTGCCCTTTATTTTATTATAAATGGCGTGCTACGTTTTGTGAAACAGATAAAAAAACGTTTTCAGACTGTGCATTTTTCGCAAGAAATCATAAAGAGACAGAAAATGAAAGAGAGAGAAAGAGAGAGGGAGGAAAAGGGAGGGAAAGAGAGAGAGGGGGAAAGACAGAGGGGGATAGAGAAAAATGTAGAGGGAGAGGAAAAGAGACTAAAGCTGCGTTTCGAAATTCACTGCCAGTACTGAAAATTTATAGTTCATGTTATATATACTACAGAATTTCAGTATTGGTAGGAAATTTCGAAACGCAGCCTAAGCTTGAAGACTTGAGGGATCAGAGGTTCAGAACAATTATTTTAGAATACTTAAGACTCTTTATACTAGAGCTAAGAGAATACTGCAGTGACAATTAAGCTAGTAGGAAGAATGAAAACTTGGTTCAACGTACTCACCGCGTGATAAATGCGATTAGGTTCAGTGCAATAAATAGTATAAGTTAAACAAAGACGAACAGTGAATTTCTGTCTGTTGTTGTCTTACTACTAGTGAGCTGACAATCGCAATGCTACTCAGAGAGAACGATTTATTGAATCAAATAAATGTTTCTTTGAAATAGTCCAAACAAATTATTTGGTTGACACAACAAAAATATTTCTTTGAAACTAAGCCATAAATAAATATATTTTTTTATTGTGTCAAACAAAATTTTGTTCGATCAAAAAATTCGTTTGGATTATTCCAAAGAAATTATGTTCATTTGATTCAATCAAACCGTTCTATGTAGGCACAAGCCAGCGGCGATATATCATCGGTTACAAAACATCTCTCATCGATCCCTTTTCTTCAAGCAATGCGTAAGCCGAACATTGCGAGGCTAGGGCAAGAATTGTAAAAATATCAATTAAATTTTTCTCGTTTTAATGACTCACTTGAATAAACATGTTTCAATTCAACTAATTGATGACTGATTCAAGTAAAATAAATCGGAGAATATTTAATCGACAATTGCAACGAATTCAATTAAACATCGTTCAATAGACGATTGATATAAGCGAATGAAATCAAAGTTCATTCAATCGAATCTAACACAACTAATTAAAGGCCATTTAATTGATAGTTGGACTTAGTAAATTTAATTGAAAGCTATTTAATTGACGATTGATATGAGTAAATTCAATCGAAGAGCGTTTGATTATTCAGTTAGAATTGATTTTGTGGATATATATTCTAATATTTATACTCGGAGTATTTCCAGTAATAGCTAGTTTTTACTAGTTATAGCTACATGTAGTAATAAAAATTATTATACAATTCTTCAGGTAAACATTTTCGCAAAACTAATAGACTTAAATATAATAAAAATGAGTGCAGTTCTGTGACTTCCCAATATTTTAAATATTTTAAAGTTCTTGGCTTTCTATTGAAATCAAACGATATGAATTTTTGTAAATTTGTTAAATCAGAAATATCATTAACCATATTATTTGGTAATCGTACATTTTTATCAATGGGCCCACTTAACCAGAGTTACTAATTTACGCATCACCCCTAAACACACAAGGTATATATAATCTAAAGGAACGTTAGACACTAAGCCTAAGTATGTAATGTATGTATGTATGTATGTAATACAAGTATTTAATGTTGCAAGTAGATTCCTGTAATATTTCTACAATTTTTCTGTAATGTTGCGGCATTATATCTCTATAACATTTCTGAAATGTTTTAGAAATAGTTTTAATGTTGCATATAGATATCCATAACTTTTGTCAAACGATTCAATATTATTTCGTGAACGTTTCAATTTTTGATTGAAAAATATTTTTTATACGACCTCTATTTTCTAAGATATTTCCGTAAATATCTTAGAAAATAGAGGTCCTATAAAAAATATTTTTCAAACAAAAATTGAAATGTTCACGAAATAATGAAACGTTTGACAAAAGTTACGGATATCTATATGCAACATTAAAACTATTTCTAAAACATTTCAGAAACCCTTATAGAAATATCATACTCAAAAATACTGAAAAATTATTAGTGATTAAATATTACCAGTAATTCAGTAATTTTTTAGCCAGTACTTAATTTCTGGTGAATACTAATAATAAAATCATTGTTAAATATTGATAGTAATCAAATACTGAGAATTATTATGAGAAGGTGAAAAATGAGAAAATCATAATGTTTACAAAAATATACTTATATTCTTAATTTTCTCATGTTTCATAAACTACTAGATATCGAAGGTTGTCAATACATTCCAAACTTTCGTGAATCCTCCAGCAATAATTTCGATCCCAAGCGGTATACCACCGGTCACCAATCCATGTTCCTGACCCCGTTAAAAAGTGTTACTTAACCTGACGATCGAGCAGCACGCGGCGATTCCCAATGACTCTAACGATATTCTTACGATTAATGTATATATAATGTATCCTTATAGTGCTCACAGTATATTATAACATATCTAGCAAACACCAAATAATAGTTACATAATTTTTACTTGTTGTTTATTGGATAATTTGCTGATAGATATTGAAACAATGCAACATTCGATATGCGATGAATATTGATGTAATGTAGTGAACCAGTGATAATTACTTTTACATTTTTAACAAAATGTTATAATGATTAATCCAACAAAAAAAATTTTTTTTAAATCCAAGAAAATCCAAATTAAACAAATCGAATTACTAAATTTTGAGAGAAACTTTTAAAAAATATTATTTAAAACAAGTGTTGTTTCATCAAATGATATGGTTTCCTTGAACGAAATAAAAGTTTTATTTTCATCATTTTAAAAATAATATTTCGTTTAAGAATATAATATTTTAATTAAATAAAAAAAACCACAAAATTAAACAAGTACGAATATTAAATCTAAAGAAAGTATTTTCTCCGAAAAAACGGTATAAGAAGTATAAAAAATATGCAATAAGACAAATTAATGATTGCCACTAACGAGTGCTATTCTAAATACTATTCTGTAAGTATTATTGATGTAAAACATTACTGAATTTGAACTACAAGTAACAAAAATAACTAGTAAATAAATAAAATATATTATATTCGTAATATTTTTTTAAATATTACTGCGATATTGCTAAAGTAATATTGCAAATTAATGTCACTGCAAAGTCTCTGCAACATTGCACTGCAATATGCAATCTTGCAACGTTGTAGCAAGGTTGCTGCAAGCTTCTGTGCTGTATGGGCATTGCTGAGATTCGAGCCTGAGACGTCTCCCAGGTAGCAGACTTACGTCAAAATGACATTCAAATCTAAGTAAGTTCAGAATCAAGAATAACCAAGGAATGATCAAAAATATCGTGAGAATATCGTCAAAATGATAGTCTAATGTTGCAGACCGATGACAACATTTTAGACGACATTAATGACGTTTTATGACGTCTCTAAACATCAATAATACATTTTTAAGACGTTATACGGAAACGTCATTAAGATGTCACAAAAAAAACGTTTTAAAGACGTCGTTATTTAGTCACTTGACGTCATTCGACCAGTTATGACCAGTTTTTTATGTCATTTTGACGTGAGGCTGTTATTTGGGCTGATTCTTAAGTCGTTCACCTTATCTACTGCATCACTGTCACTTTGATTGAGAAACGCTTTATATTGTGTACATATGGTAAATCCATATACGAAAGCATATGATTTATTTAAAAGAAGAGAATAGATTCT